GTCTGGGGGGGTTTTTAAAAATTCCGGGGCCCCCCCCTGCTTCCCCCCCCCCACCCTTTAAAATGGCCGCGGGAGCCCCCCCACCACTACTCCAGGGCTCCGGCGGCTATTTAAAGGGCTGGGGCATTAGAAGCAGGGGAGCTCCGGACCCTTTAAATAGCCAAGGAGCCCAGAGGTAGCGGGGGGGCTCCAGGGGCTATTTAAAGGGCCCAGGGCTCCAGCTTCCCCAGGGTTCCCGTGGCTATTTACAGGGCTGGGATGGTAGAAGCAGGGGAGCCCCGGGCCCTTTAAATAGTCCCCCGAGTCCCGGGCTGCTGTTGCTACCCCGGTGGGGGTGGGGGGGCACTTACCTTACAGGGTGGGCTGGGGCTGGCTCTGACTCCCTCAACCCCGCCCCTTCTGCCCTAGGATCGCCCCTTCTGGGGGCCAGAGCTGGGCCCAGCGTACCGGTAAGTCACTGGACTTACTTTCACCCCTGAGTATAACTATGTTGCTCAGGGGTGTGAAAAATCCACATCCCTGAGCAAAGTCATTATACCAACCTAACCCCCACTGTAGACAGTGCTATGTTGACAGGAGAAATTCTCCTATCAGCATAACTACTCGGAGAGGTAGATTAGCTACGCAGATAGAAGAAGCTCTCCCATCAGCATAGTAGCATCTTCACCAAAGCACCACAGAGGCACAGCTGCACCAATGTAGCACTGAATGTGAAGATAAGCCCAAGGTCCCTGCTATAGGTTCCTGCCCCAAAGTGAGCCCCATGTGCACAGAAGTGACTCACCAGCCAAAACCCAATTGTGGCTGGAGCCTTCCCCTTAGTCTCCCTACTGTTGGTCATGGTGTCTGGGTCTTCGATGGCCAGGTAGCTTCAAAATTCAACCCCTCAAGTCCAGCTGTAACTGGTCACTACCCAAGCTGGCTTCTCCCAGCTCACCTCTTCAGTGTCCCTTCATCCAGTTCTCACCTGGTTAAAATGGAATTAAAAGAAATCTTTTGCTTAGCATATCTAGACTTACACGTCTCATAAACTAAACTAGACATAGTATTGTTATCTTAGGCCTTGTGTGAGGGATTAAGGTTTTATTTCAAGGAGATGGCTTAAGTAAGAGATTCTTAAGTAACATGGCTAATTTACCTTATTCCACGTAGTCCTGGACCCATGTTTCAATTGGAAAGAATAAACCAGTTCTGTGTACTTTTCATGAGTTCTATTAAAAAGAATAAGCGAGCAGATATTAAGCAAAAATGTCACTAAGGCTAAAATGATTATGACTTCATTAAACTAATTAAGAATGAAATGATACAATGATCAAATCAAGGGCACAGTTAAGAGTGAATCAATAGATCAATGGGTTAACAATGATGTTGGCTTAGATAACCATCATACCCTGGGAAAGAGCACTCTTAAATCCCTAAAATTAACCTTTAAATGCGCCACCTAATCAGTATAATATCTCCTTGGTTAGAGTGTAAGCTGTGAGCATTGTAACACTACCTCTGTTCTGAAATCACTTGGTAAAACTCACAGATGCCCTAGGGAGTAAGAAGAGAAGAAGAATAGCCACAATAACAAAAGTGAGATTTAATGAGGAAGCAGGTAGTAGCACTGAGGTTGGTCTCTGTACTGCCTTCAGACTAGCCTAACGGAGTTTACTGTTCCAGGGGATCCCTCTTGGTCAGGATCTAAAACCAAAGTGGACAGTTACATTCTGCACCAGTATCAGAGGGGTAGCCGTGTTAGTCTAGATCTGTAAAAAGAGACAAAGAGTCCTGTGGCACCTTATAGACCAGGGATCGGCAACCTTTGGCACGCGGCTCGCCAGGGTAAGCATCCAGGCGGGCCGGGCCAGTTTGTTTACCTGCCGCATCCGCAGGTTCAGCCGATCGCGGCTCCCACTGGCCGCGGTTCGCCACTCCAGGCCAATGGGGGCTGCGGGAAGTGGCGGCCAGCTCGTCCCTCGGCCCACGCCGCTTCCCGCAGGGTGCTTACCCTGGCGAGCCGCATGCCAAAGGTTGCCGATCCCTGTTATAGACTAACAGAAGTATTGGAGTATAAGCTTTCGTGGATGAATACTGACTTCGTCAGACGCATGTGGTGGAAATTTCCAGAGGCAGGTATAAATATGCAGGCAAGAAAGACTGATTTTTGCCTGCATATTTATACCTGCCTCTGGAAATTTCCACCACATGCGTCTGACAAAGTGGGTATTCACACACAAAAGCTTATGCTCCAATACTTCTGTTAGTCTATGAGGTGCCACAGAACTCCGTCACATTCTACACCAGATTTCACTGAGGGGTTTTAAATTAAAGCAAAACAGCAACTTCCTTTAGTTATGGCCAATGCCATTTCTGAAAAATAGCTAATGGCTTAATCAGCAACATATACTCACTCATACATTTTCTCATTAGCCCATTACAGTCTTACATGTTTACAGGGCAAACCCTGCCTCTGACCTTTCTAATGAGAGCTCACAGATTTCCAGAACACACTCTGTCTAGAAAAATAGCGTTTCTGTCCTCCCACAAAGATCTAGCCCAACCCAGTTCAGACACAACCATCTGTCCCTGATGTCAACGCAATGTGTTTTTCAAGCTTCTCTCTCCAGTGCCAGAATTCATTACCATATTATGTGAAGTCTCTTTTCTTCCCCAAATCAGTTTTTTTCCCCAACCAACTTTGAACCAGGTCATCCCCACCACAATGGGAGGTTTATTTTTTTCCCAATCATTAAGTGTAGGGCTTCAGGTCATTCTGCAAGTATCAACCTGACCCACTGAGCTCAGGCAGCCCAAAGCAGGCAGAAAGCTCCCCTAGTGAAGCAGCTAGAGATTCCCGTTGTGTAGAGGAATTCTTTGGTGGAATAAATCTGTTTCAATGTCTCTACTCGACTCATATGGGAACCATGCTGGGGCAGGAGGTGGTGTGACCAGAAAGCTCTATGCTCCAGTGATTCTGGTCCAGTGGAGTGGCCCTCAGTATAACTTAGTGCAGCCCTGGAGCTATTCTTCCTTACTCCAGTATGGCAGATAGCACCAAAATGAAGGAGGTGCACAGCTGGCACAAAAACACGTCTGTCTCTCCACTGCCCCATCAGCTCAGGACATGCACCAGCCACTATTCAGCCAGACACAAGGCTCTGGGCCTATTACCTTAGCTCTGTATCGCTATCTTTCTAACGTCAATTTAATAAAGTATAGGCTTACTCTGACAAGTGACTATAAAAACAGCACATTGTCTCTTAGTGACTCCATATCAAATGTGCTCAGTTTACCATTAAAAATATGTTTGTTTGTTTTCTTATGTGCAGCCCCACAAGCTCAGCCGGGGATCTAAGAGTCTATCTGGCTTCTTGGTTTGCACATCATCACCAATAATAAAGGCTCAGCAGCTCAAATTAGCCCTCAGTTATACCTGTACAATCCAACTGTACTCAACTGATGGTCTCAATGATACCTATGCAACCCTTTTGTTCCCACTGGGTTGTGCAGGTGTCCCTTAGTAAACAATTCATATAAGAAGGGATAGAATCCATCTCCCGCTCCCTTAGGTGTGCTGTCTTTGCAGGGCCAACAAGAACAAAAAGCATTACAAACTTATTCTATCTCTGGCTTTAAATACAGACAGGAACAGAAGGTCTGGTGAGTAAGCTGTCATTTTTGCACAGGCATTTTCAGAGTAAAACCGCACTCTAAGGCCATAATCTGCATTCAGATTGGAAGCGTTTTAAACAATGCTCACTTAAACAATACCCTTTGCAAGGACTGTGTCTGCCTGCCTCCAAGCCAGTATGTATCTCAGGTTCTCTAAGACTGGTGCCCAATAAGCAGATGAGAATTTGTTACTAAAAGCATGAATGGGATTGAAGAGAATACTACCAATATGTTTTGGTCCCTTTAGCTAATTATTCCAAATCCGCTGCTAAAGCCTTGTCTACAGTGAGCTTTCCTATAAAAACTCCTATCTTTGTTATAGCACCAGAGCAGCTCCTCTGTAATAGCAATGGTGGGAGCTGGTGTAGACTGGGTACAGATGTATTTACCAACTTGTAGTCTAGACTTGCTCTGAGTACTATAGATGACAGAGTAATAAAAACACCCCATCCTGGGTTCTAGCACTTCCACCACTGTTATAACTGGTGAAATTGTACCAATGACAGTACAATGACTGGAGAGTTCCCCCAAAATACTAGTGTACTATGTATGGAATCAGCAAAATGAGTTTGACTCACTTTCTAATGCTGGTCCTATCCATTTTATCCCTTTTTTTCTTATCTTTCCAGTAAATACCCTCCCCATATATCCCAAGACATATCATTGGATGAATTATATCTATTAGAGATGAGCTCTAGCTGCAAAAATCAAATATAGATCCAGATTCCAAACACTCCATGCATTTCAATTGTGCCTAATAGGGATGGGAAAATTAATTTTACCAAATTGGACCCTACCATGAGTTCTAGATTTCTGTCAGAACTCTCACTCTGCAAGATGGAGCTCTGTATGGCTCTAACAAAATATGAGCTGTGGGTTGCTGCGAGTTCCTTCCCCTAATTGCCCTAGAAGCAGGACAAGAATGGTTATTTAAAAAATCTTCAGTTTGTATACTATAGGCTGCTCTTTAATTAGAAATTCATGTGTCTAGCTAGCTAGTTATCATCAGAATTTCCGAAGTGCCTACCCCTACAGAATCTACATGCTGTCTAAGTTTTCAAGTTGTTGTCTTATTTTAAACCCTCCTTCCCCAATTCTAAATTGTAGTGGGCAATGTTTCAAGAAAATGAAAATGTTTGTGGAAACCCTTTTTTTTTAAAGGTATAGAGGTTTCACGCATGCTCAGTTTCCCCCAACCTTTGTGTAAATAATATTCAGCATCTTTTAATCTGCAAAAGTTCTTTCTTGCTTTTTTTGCAGAATCCAGTGGTATCCTGGGAGAAAGCCTGTGACACCTGGTGAGTATCTGACATATGCACTAATTTGATGCTTGACCAAATAAAGAGATAAATATGGTAAGTGTTTTCCCCATGGTGATATCTGTATTCAATAGTCATGTAGGTAGGAAACTAAAATCCCATCTAGAGAAATCCATGCATAAGCATTAAATTGAAAGAAACAGCAGGATCCCAGGAGGGTTTAACTGATGAGCTGCTTAGGCACTTGCTCTAATCCCTGATGTACATACACATGAATAGAAATAACCAGGATGTGGCCTAGAGGGTATTGAGTTCAATGGAGTGTGGCCTCAGTGCCTTTTAACTGACTAATGGTAAAGGCAGAGATAATTTTGATATCTTTTTGTAGTTTTAATGGGAAGAATGATGCCAAAATACACTGTGCTCCATACAATTAGCAAACCAATATTTTGACTCATGTATATGTGATCATGGAGACGTACTGCTGGAATAATAGTATTTTTTACATGTATATGGGACCTTTGATCTCAAAATAGTTTACAGACTAAACACGAGGATTGCTTCATCCACCCCTCGGGTGAAATACAATAATGCCACATAATAAGGTAGTACAGAAAGTGAAACGTCCCTGATTCTTCTGACACTGCAGGAGGAAGTTACAGAGGCCAAATGTAATTACCGATTTGGAATTTGAACGGGAGTGTTAACTGGCCTCCACTTTGAAGAGTCCTAAATGATCACAACCACGATGCTGAATGTCGTTCAAAAAATGACAACTACAGCAGCAAAGTGGCTCCTAACAATACATTAGGACTCTGAGTTCAATATTACCTCAGAAGGAAGAGTATTACCTCTTAATAACCAACATAACTTCTTGAAGAATCTTACTTGCCCAAGCCTCAGGGGGCTAAGCTTGTGAAATCTAAGAAGTCTGTATATTTCATGGAAATGAGCTATAAAAGTATCCTTCACAAATACATTATAAACCATCCTTACAGGAGGAGTTGTTCAGAACACAGATGAAAGGTATTTGATGGTATTAATGCAAATAAGTTTCAGAAAATACTCTTACAGTATATTTTATTTTTTGATATCTCAACACAGCCTCCTAAGAACAATATACTCATTGTCCTTTGTTTTGCACATTAGCTAGTATCATCCTGTAAAAATGTAACCTTGAATAACTTCAGATTAGTAACAGCATCAGTTTGCTTCCAAAAGATTCTGTGTGGCATCAGGGGCTTGCCTGAATCAATATCATCCCTCAGACTGAAAGTAAAACATCTGCACAAACA